CTGCTGCCTTTACTCCTAGCTGGAGTTGCCATGGTAACAGACGCCTGTAAAAGCTTGTCACAGAATATTCTAAAGTCACCAGACTCCAACGAAACTCGAAGCTAGGAATTATCCACACAAATAACTAAAAATTATCTTTTGTCCAATCCAAGTTTATTCGTTGTTTATTTCATTTTGGCCGAGCGGAGGTCGGAAACTACAAATAAAGTAAGCAAACTGAAAGAAATGTTCCTGCAGATATCGCATTCGGCACATTTTCCTAACTGTACTATGAAACATTTCACACTCTCTAACGATATCAAACGAAACGAAAAGTAGAACTAGTAAACCTCACATTATCACAAACACAACGACAAGTCAGCGTTGCGGGTAGAGAGCCTTTATTGGCATATAACATGAAGATTCCTTACCGCAAACAGAACACGAATACACAAAACACTTAACTTAAGTATCTCTGATAGCAATCACATATTTGTCTAACCAGTTGAATGTCTGACACGTTTGTGACCACCGGAAATAATTACTAAAAATTAAAAAGCTGTGAACAACAAGAGTCGCAACCTAGGATCCGTAAAACGTTTCTATACGGCGACATTATGCAGATCACTCTCACCTTCTGTGACATTTCTAACTATTTTAAAACTGGGGTCACCTGAGAACCAAAGTCAATTTAAGCAAAATTGCTTTGATCTGCATTTGAACCCATGACTTTCGGACAGGCATGCAAGTGAGTAGTCACAGGGCTTTTTAAAATTTTCAAATTATGTCCCGTTTCCGCAATTAAATATGACTATAGGGCATCCAATGCAATCTTTGTGAATATAGTTAAATGAAGCCCCAATGGTTTTTAAAAAAAAAAAAAATTTACTGTTTCAACAGCGCCTTTTTATTTTCAATTAAAAATTTTCCACTGGCCCTAACCTAAGTAAAAGTATGACGTAACAGATTAAAAACTCGTGTATCATGGAATATTTCGTGGCGCCCCTGTGAAGAGGTCGCGGCCCCTCAGGTTCGCGAGGGTCGCAGTCAGGGAATCAACGGTGTTTTATATTTCTGAAAAACACATAATCTCTCTTTAAAGAAGGTAAATAAATATAAACAATAAACTACAAGTACCAAGCAATGCACGATGTGTGGTGGGGTAATGTCTTTGTGTACCACGCAACACTTTATTTGTTACTATTTCTTTCCTGTTTGGTCTGGGTGTACTAAAGAAATCTGGCCAAATATGTTAATGATGACAACTGTTTACTATGCGATTATTCCAGCATGTGTTACAATCAGGCTGGTGAGTTTCAGGTGGTAGTGCAGTAATTATTTTTAAGGTAATAACTGGGACACGAAAGTTCGATATCGGATATTTAAACTTGTCCTTTTTAAAGCGTTTCGCCAGTGACACGTTTTTTCTCTATGCATCTTTTCTATCGGCCAGATTTATCCTTGCTAACTTGCAAAGTCTTGAAAATTTAATGAGAATTCTTTTGGAGCTAGATTTGGCGCTTACATGAAATTTTTAAGTCTTGAAAAGCGCTTTCTTTCCGTAGATTCTGCTTTCTCTTTGGATTTTACTTTCTTGTCTCTTTGCCCGTATATCCGTTTACCTGCTTGTCTATCCATTGTGTCAACGTTAGAAATGTATATTCAAATCCACCAATCTATTTGCATGTTTGCCTGCTAATTTGCCTATATATTTGCCGATAGATAATTATTAATATTGTCCGACAGTTCGATAACGCCTGAACTGGGTCCAAGGAAAATTTCAGGAAGTAAAGTCGACGTGTGTGATATTGAGCCCACTGCTCATTACTATTAGATTTAACATACATAAGCCAGTGTCTTATACCTAACGGTGTCTCGGTTTAAAATTTACATGGGATTCCTGGTTTATTCACCTACTTCTTCTTTTTCTTCTTCTTCTTTGCGTTCACTAGCTGTAAACTGGCGGAAAGTTCCGGTTGTTCGTCCACTTCTGGACTGCAGTCCTGTTCCACAACCTGAATGTTGCGTGTGCATCCGTTTTATAGATCTGACTTATCTGTATGCAGACTGCTGGTTCCTTGCCTCTCCGGCAGATTCACTCAGACTTCAAAGGAAGCTCCCAGTTAGTCGACTCTTACGACATGCTTTTGGGTAGCCACCACCTCTGAGCTCTCGCATTCAACCATCATCATCATCATGTAGCAGGTCCTTTGCAGAATGTCTGCCTGAAAGAACGCCAGTTCTCCTGCCTCATGCACTTTCACACTCAAGGAGTCACTTATATCCTGTGCCCATCTTCGTGTTGGTCGGCCCCTGCCCATCCTTCCTGGTACCATGCCTTCTGCTATAATTTTTTCCAATCCGTCGTGGCGCTTGATATGACCAAAATATTTCAGCTTTCGTTGATGTTCAGATCTTTTAAGATGTCAATATTTCTCATCTTCTTTGTCCAAGATATTCTGAGAATCTTTCTATAGCATTTCAACTCAAGAGCCCCTATTCTCTTTCTTAAGGACTGAGAGATAGTCCACGACTCACATCCGTACTAATATACATTCCATATGAGGGGGAAGGGGGAGCACACACACGTGTCATTCGTTCTACTTGTCGGACAGCAGTGTAGTGTATGTAACAGACTCTGAAAAAATGCTGAGAAAGGTGAAGACAGTGATGCTTCGAGCAGAGTGGCAAGCTTCACTAGGAAGGTTACGGGTAGTGAGCATATTTGAATCTTCTCTCCAGGCTATGCCGGCGTGGTGGGTAATGAACAGGCAGACAGACTAGCTGGATCTGCACCACTGGGTGGTGAATTGATACATGACTAGGCCCTTTGGGAACATGCAACGGAATCAGTAGAGAAGCAAGATTTTTATGGCTTGGGGAGAATAAGGCCGAAATCAGGCCAGCTCACAACACTCGAAGGAAAGACAAGACGGACTTTTAACCAGATTGTGACCGGTACCATCAGTATTGGAACTCTGCGCTGGCTGCTGAAGATGATGACGGAGCATGCATGGGAATGCCCCGAGTGCTGTGATGTCAATTCTTGACTCAACTTAACTCAAAACACACACACATACGCACACATACACACACTTATCTTCTTCTTTCTTCTTTTGTAGGTATCTGCTTTGTACCGCTAGATATCGCAATTTCACATATGATATGTAGCCTAGCCTTGGCGTGCTCGGTTGCTTAATATGCTGCTATACTTGAAGTCTTATGCAGCCAGTCTATCTTCTTGTAGGTCTCTCGCTGAATCCTGTTGTTCCTCTATTCATGTTGTACGCTCTCACTGTCGCCATCTTGGATTCATTAGTTAGTTAGTCTTTCCTCTTGTGTCGAGTGCGGCACATAGCGCAGAGGTCATGACTCTCCATGCATGGCGGTTCGTTGCAATCTGTTGTAGGTCTTGGATGTTTAAGTGGCCCATGAGCGAGCCTTCCCTGATGATAGTTCTACGTAGGGTTTCCCTTGGTCTTCCTCGAGATCTTTTCCCCTGTGGTGTCCAAATGAGGGCTTGGTAAGGAAGTCTTGATTTATCCATTCTAAGGGCGTGGCCGGCATAGTTCCAGCGGCGTTTTCGTATAAAATTAGACACATACTCTTGCCTGGATTCTTGCCTTATTTGTGTATTGGTTCGGAAATCTGACCATTTGAAATTTAGTATTCTTCTAAGGCAATTATTTTCAAAACTGTCTAATTTTGTGTCTAGAGTTTTCGTTGATATCCAGCTCTCGCATCCATAGGTTAGTACTGGAATCACACAAGAATTGAAGATCTCGAGTTTTGTGTGTTTGCTAAGTGTCTTTGATTTCCAGATGTTGGACAGTTTATTGAAGGCACTAGATGCCAGTGCTATTCTAAATGGTATTTCTGGTGCGGTATCTCCTGTAGATGACAGCATGGATTCATGCTCACAATCAAAAGCCTGACCGCCAGGCGTAGGCAATCATACAGCGCGTCATGTCATGTCATATGCTGAAAAGAATTAGGTGCAACGCTGAAAACGGCTGTAATCGTTGAAAAGAGATGTAAGGTGCGCACGATGAGACATGACTGGCTCCAGGACTGTTTATGTTTACGATCCTTCTTCCCCCTAGGCTGATTACCTGCCTGGCGTCTGAGAAACCTCCTGGCAGATAGCGTGCCATCTAGTTCCGTGGAAATTTAACGTCTCTGCTGATAATTCTAGAACCAGAAATACACACGGATGTGTGAGCGAGTGTATGTGTGCATCTGTGAGCATATGAACGTGGGAGCGCGTTTGTGTGTGTGTGTACTTACGTATGGATGTATGTATGTATATGTATGTATGTATGTATGTATGTATGTATGTATGTATGTATGTATGTATGTATGTATGTATGTATGTATGTATGTATGTATGTATGTATGTATGTATGTATGTATGTATGTATGTATGTATGTATGTATGTATGTATGTATGTATGTATGTATGTATGTATGTATGTATGTATGTATGTATGTATGTATGTATGTATGTATGTATGTATGTATGTATGTATGTATGTATGTATGTATGTATGTATGTATGTATGTATGTATGTATGTATGTATGTATGTATGTATGTATGTATGTATGTATGTATGTATGTATGTATGTATGTATGTATGTATGTATGTATGTATGTATGTATGTATGTATGTATGTATGTATGTATGTATGTATGTATGTATGTATGTATGTATGTATGTATGTATGTATGTATGTATGTATGTATGTATGTATGTATGTATGTATGTATGTATGTATGTATGTATGTATGTATGTATGTATGTATGTATGTATGTATGTATGTATGTATGTATGTATGTATGTATGTATGTATGTATGTATGTATGTATGTATGTATGTATGTATGTATGTATGTATGTATGTATGTATGTATGTATGTATGTATGTATGTATGTATGTATGTATGTATGTATGTATGTATGTATGTATGTATGTATGTATGTATGTATGTATGTATGTATGTATGTATGTATGTATGTATGTATGTATGTATGTATGTATGTATGTATGTAT